CTAGAGAGATGGCTCCGTGGTTAAGATCACTGATTGCTGGGTTCGGTTCCATGTCTGCATGGTGCTTACAGCCATCTGTAACTGCAGTCCCAGGGTGTCTAACACCTTCTGGTCTCTGAAGGCATCAAGCACTGACATGGTACACAGGCATATTTGCAGGTAAACACCCATACATAAAATGGAAACAATTAAAAATGTCATATAAAACTTTTATTACTAGCTGGGCGGTGGTGGCGCACGCCTTTAATCCCAGCACTTGGGAGGCAGAGGCAGGCGGATCTCTGTGAGTTCGAGGCCAGCCTGGTCTACAAGAGCTAGTGCCAAGACAGGCTCCAAAGCTACAGAGAAACCCTGTCTCAAACAACAACAACAAAAAAACTTTTATTACTAACTTTGATGGCATATTTCTAGAAATTACAATTTGTGTGTGTGTGTGTGTGCACGCGCGCGCGTATATTATTTTCTGGTACTGGTCTCTAAATGTAACATTTATATCCAAATTCCAGAGTTTTGTTAATTTCATTCATGCTTGACACATCAGGGTACTGTGAACTCCCTAGTCACCATTCAGATGGCCTTCCACATGCCTGCCTGAGCACCACCCTCCTCTATGTGGCCTAATTTCAGCTATTGGCAAGTGTTTAATTGGTTCTGATATAATAACCATATGATAGTCAATATGCTTTTGTTTTGACTACTTAGTTACATTAATCACAAAATTATTATAAATATTTGGTGGTTCATAGAGGTTAAATATGTATGTTTGTGTGATTTGTATTCTGATAGCTTTGTGAAAAAAGTGGACATTTACATTCATATCTTTGTATACAATCCTGATCATTCTAATCTGTTTAGCCTATTTTTCTCTTTCTAGGTTTCCCGTGGTCTGGGAAGATTAAAGATGTGCTGAAAAATGTTTTTAAACTGCAGAAGTTCAGACCCCTGCAGCTGGAAACCGTCAATGTCACCATGGATAGAAAGGACATCTTTCTGGTCATGCCCACAGGAGGTGGGAAGAGCTTGTGCTACCAGCTGCCAGCACTGTGCTCAGAGGGTGAGTACAATAGGTGGCTGACATTGGAAATAATGTCTCAGTAGACTGTCTTTGTTTATTTGTCTGTTAATATCAGTCATCTACTAACGTGGGTACACTGGAGAAAGAACTTGTTTGAGGATGGGGAGAGAAATGCTGATGTGGTTGTTGAGATATGGACTTCATGATGCTTACAGACATGCAGGTGGGCTGTGTGAGATCAGCCGGGGCCAGATGAGCTAGGCCGCCATGTGTAGATGTGCCTGGCGCCACTAGAGTGAACCATGTCCTCTCAAGTGGCATATGGAGGGAGGAGGGCTCCCAGTGCCACCCTGAAGTTGAAAGAAAGAGGAACTTGAAGAAAGCTGAGGAGTAACCAGGTGCAGGAGGATGTCATCGGGAGAATGTGCTGGGGTTAGCCTAGGGACAGGAAAGCTTGCAGGAGGGAATTGTGGTGTCTGTGATGTTTGCCTGCAGAAGGTCACCTAACAGTAGGACCTTAAAGTTAAAGGTTAAAGGCCAGAACTAATCCTTGACCTTGGGCAGGAATTCAGGCAGAGGCCAGTAGAGGCTACCTTGAGGCACAGACAGCAAGTGTGAGTGAGGCTGAGTGACTGGGAAGTGAGGGTGGGGTACTCTGGAAAGAATGGCTACTAGGGAAGAGAAAGGTAGTAGTCTGATGTGCTATAGCAAACGCTTTTAGACTGGATATAAATAATTAAAGTTCTGGAGTCTATGGAGGCCAATATCAAGGCAACAGCACATTTGATGTCTAGAATGGACCTGTCCCTTAGGTGTGATCCTTTCTTGCTTTGTCCTCACATCATAGGGACAATCCCTTCATTCTTGTTTATCAGAACGTTGATCCCAGACCTCAGCCTTCCTGACTTATTCCCCAAAGGCTGTGCTTTTCAATACCATCACAGTGTGTATTCAGTTCCAGTAAGGCTTTCACGGGTCATCAGTAGTCAGCCCACTGCAGGTGTTGAGGGTTTCTGAACGATGAAGACTGTGTTTAACTAACGAGTGCATGTGCCTAATGAGGGAGAAGGTGCAGGTGTGGGAGAGAGGGAACCTGATGGGGAAAAGCCCCCTTCAGGTCCTAATGTGAGTAAATATATTTAAGTCTGTCTCTCCTCTGCCAGACTATTGTGAGGAACAGAGTAGAAACGCAAAGTTGTGTCCTGTCAGCATCGTATAGCAGCTTACAGATGAAGCTGCTCTCTGCTACGCTCTCAGGCTGACTTGATCTGATAGGAAAAGTGAATCCCACATGTGCCTCCTATTTGGAGCAGCATGACTGTTCCTTTGGCCAGTTTGGGATGATTTTTCTCTGATACAGTAGTTTAGTATTAGGCCTGGCATGTGTTATTTCATTGAGATTTACTATATTAGTCGTTAAAGAGGGTAATAAATTCATAATAGTAAAATCTGTGTTTCTATGAGATTGAAGAAAGGTAGAGATTTCTGTTACCTTAAAAAATACTTACTTTAGTTTTTATGTGTATGTGTGTGTATGTCTGTTAACACATGTGTGTGGAAGTCCTCTGAGCTCAGAAGAGGCATTGGATCTCCTGGAGCTAGAGATACAGATAGTTGTGTGCTGTTGGACAATGGTCTGTACCCTTTCACTTGTATTTTAAATAAACGCTGATTGACCTAGTGTCCCAGGCTTCTTATTAGCTCTTATAACTTCTATTAGTCCATAATTCTTGTCTATGTTAGCTATGTGGCTTGGTACCTTTTTTGGTGAGGCAGTCACATCTTGCTTGTTCTGTGTCTGACTTCCTCTCTTTCTGGGTGAGGACTGCAGACTGAAACTTCCCTTTTCCCAGAATTCTTGTTGCTCAGCCTCTACTTCCTGCCTGGTCATTGCCCACCTATACTTCCTGCCTGGCTCCTGGACAATCAGCATTTATTTAAAATACAAGTGACAGGGTTCAGACCATTGTCCCACAGTGGTTGTGTAGTACCATGTGCTGGGAATTGAACCTGGTGCTGGGTGACACTCGGCTCTTAACTGCTGAGCCGTCATTCCAGCCCAATGTTTTATCTTATGATTTATTTGTTTGGCTTACATTTATCTTATTTTGTCATTTATTTTGCCCATCACCCTGCTTTATGATGCTAAGAAATAGTTATGCTGATAAATCTGCATCAGCAGCTGCCTGAATTGTAGGTCAGGTCCACAAGGTACAGAAAGTGTGTAGTGCAGCCCATTGTGGGAGTGTGAGGTTGAAAGTAGCTTTTCTTTTTTCTCTTTTAGGTTTTACACTTGTGATTTGCCCACTCATCTCTCTTATGGAAGATCAGCTGATGGTTTTAAAACAGTTGGGGATTTCAGCTACTATGTTGAATGCTTCTAGTTCTAAGGTGTGTGGGTATGATGTGGGTTTTTAGATATAAACTCTTAACTGATTTGGGTCTCAGCTGTGTCTGAGTTACCTCTAAGTTACAAGCCCCGAATCAGGAGTCTCAGTCTTCTGCTCATGAGCTAGTCTGGACACAGTCTGGTTTTGCATGCCCCAATCACTTAAAATGCCCTTTATACTTACCAAGATGGGGGAAGAAAACAACAACCAAACAACCGTGAAAAGCAGCAGTGCTCTGTGACATGTGAAGTCACAGAGATTTTAGGTTCAGTGTTCGTAAGTAAACTCGTGTTGGAACCAGCAAGCTCATTCTCTTACACGCTATTTCACGCGTGCTCATTCTCTTACACACTGCATCACAATGCTCTTTCTCTCACACTGCTTCACGCGTGCTCATTCTCTCACTGCTTCACGCGTGCTCATTCTCACTGCTTCATGCGTGCTCATTCTCTCACTGCTTCATGCGTACTCATTCTCTTACACACTGCTTCACGCGTGCTCATTCTCTTACACACTGCTTCACGCGTGCTCATTCTCTTACACACTGCTTCATGCGTGCTCATTCTCACACTGCTTCACGTGTGCTCATTCTCACTGCTTCACGTGTGCTCATTCTCACTGCTTCACGCGTGCTCATTCTCTTACACACTCCTTCAC